CCGGGCTGGGGATTCGAACCCGCCACCTTAGGTGTACGTGGCTGGCGCCCTAGCCGGTTGAGCTATAGGTGCCGAGCCGAAACAGCTAGTTTCAAAGCAGTTTCTAATTGCAAAACTTGACTCTCATTCCCTAGGCCTAAAATGATGGAATTAGTGTTTTATCTTTTGGAAAAAAGTTGTCTCATAAAGAATGATTCTTTGACAGGTACATTTCTAATGCCCCATGCACAGCACAGCAGCCTCACAACCTTCATCATGATAGGATCTTTAAAGAATGTGACAGGAATTACTGCAAATTACTATCAGCTGCTATTAGGATGGAACTACAGGAATGAATATGGTGTTTCAAAAAGTCAACTCTGCATGGCTTGCCCAAGAGTAGAAGAGTACATCCCTGGCAAAATCAGCATTAGGCTCAATATCCCAAACAACTGGGGAAAGGTCTTACTTGGGTCTGTTTTTCTTATAGCTTCTTTTTACTTTTAGATGACCAAAGAACCCAGAGCATGCAAGGCAGCCCTTATGCCTTCCTGAGTCTATAAACAGTCCCCATACCTAACCCATCTGTAGGGGCAGAGACCTATGATACAGAGCACAAGTGGGTTGTTGGACTTTTAGACTCCAGATATGGCACAATCTGCAAGAATGGAACTCCGATCTGCTTGGTCTCCACGTTCTTTCTTTATAAAGCTGGTTTTATCCCAGAAAATGTCCACATTTTCACATAGTGTTTTAGTGGGACAGGTCTTGACTAGAGATTTGAACCGAGCCATAATGTTCAAACACCTTGTTTACATCCAGCCACCCCGCCACAGCCAACACCAAATACCTTTGGGTCATCAGCCTCAGGTTTTTCAGTCTCTGAATCGTCATCTTCCTACAAGACAAAGAATTTAGAGGATTAAGCTTAAAACAGCGGGCTGGGGGGGGGGGTCTCACATGCATAACTAGGGGCTGGAGCAGACAGCCCATTTACCCAGCTGGAGTCATCTCACCAAGAAACCCTCCCCTACCATATGACCCAGAACTAGAGAAAGAGAAAGGGGAAAAAGCAAAAAACATCAGCAGCTCAAAGTCAATAGTTATTGTAGTGATGCCACATTCCACATCAATGAAAATACCAAGTTAAAAATCACATACCAAAAATGGAGACAAGCTACAATATGCTTCAGAAAAGAGCAAGATCAGGCCACAGGATAAAAGATTTATAGTATCCCCACTGAATATGAATTATTCCAACCAGGATTATGAACCTTTCTTTCCCCTTCTTTGCCTTTCATATACACACGTACATCAGACTTGGACCTACCAAAACATCAACGTGAATGTGACACGACTCACACAAAGCTATACCCTAACATCTCAGCCCAGTAGCATTTGCACTAACACGAACACAGGAAGGCAGGCACCGTACAACCACGGCAACTGGCCCAGGAAAGGCACAATTACAGAGTAATGCCCAGGCTTTCCTAGATCCCACCGAATGGGCTTTGCCTCCATCAGCGTTCACAGATTGACCCATTCTACAAACCTTCCTGTTCTTTATTCAAATGAGCCCTGCCTGACACAAAGCTTCACCTGGGTAAGGTATTCTCGAAAGCAAGCCTACCATTCCACTTAACACTAATGGTATGATGGTCAAAGATTGGGAGCAGGTGCTAGATCAGCTTCCATATTAGCTGGCTAAATCCATGTCACCGAACTATCCAGAACGTTCCCAATGCCTTTGACTAAATGCTTAGGAAAAACCAGTTTCACTTAAACCTATTCTTTTCAACAAAGCTGCACTTCAACCCAAACATTACAGAGCACTCCAGATATTAACATAAACAACACCTAAGAGACTTGAACAAATTCTACTGATGGTTTTGACATATAACTGTCCTATAAAATGCCAGTGAGTCAAAGGTTTTAAATGTAATTTCCTTAATTGAAATAATCACAGATGATGGTCAGCTGAATACATTTCAGAATGTCTATATTGGAATTTATGAGATGATTTTACTAAAATATGAAATAATGCTTAAACATGCTGAAAATTGTAAGCAAATATGACACACCTCAAATATATATTATGTGAATTTACTAAAGGAAAGAATTATGGATATTAAGTCGGTACACATGCACTTGAGAAAGATCAGTAAAAGAAAACAACTTGCAAAAAAAAAAAGAAAAGAAAACAGCTTGCAAACTTTTCTGAAAATTTCAGTCCACTCTGAATTATTGCCATTAATTGGTGGGGCTAAAGGCATGAAATTATATTCTAAGAACATAGAATACAAAATACGTTTCTGCTTAACATGGAAAGCAGTGAAGTACTAACACTTACACATTAACATGTAACAAAATTTTTTTTTTTT